TACGCCGTGTGGGTCGCTGCTCTAGAGTGAATTTGTATACCCTCTATTGTCGAGTGCTGCCAGAAGCAAATAAATGTAATTACTGTCTTATCATAATTACAAGAGAGAAAAAAAAGAAGAAAAAAATTAATGCGATGAGGGAGAGAAATAAGAATGATGACGATGGATGATGGCGTTTAAGCTTCTCAGCTGTGTTTCATCCACAGAGTCCACAGATACACTCAGATACAACTCGAACGCACACTCACGCAGTGCACTCCATTCCCTCCGTCCATCCCTCATCCCGTCTCACTTTTCCTGGAATATTTCTTGTTGCTTCTGTAGTTGTTTCAAATTTTAATTTCATTTTATTGCAGCGCACAAATTGTGCGCCATGTCGCCGGCGGCGCTGTTGCGTGTAAGCCCCCATCCATTCATCCACTCATCCCACTCTGCCCCTCTTGTGTCCATCAGTTCTCCCATTATCCTCCTCAGTGGCTTCCTTAGCCAGTATGCCCTGTGGCTATGGCATGGTAGGGGGGAGAGAGAGAGAGAGGGCTGCTCGAACAGTAATCTCTCTGACAATTGAGAGGATTCATCCATTTTTCAGCCCAGAATGGTGTACTCTTGAAAGTTGTTTCGTGTTGAAATGAACTATTTCTCACATTCCCCGGCATGGAGTACTCCTCGATCTTCCCTCGCGGGGTGAAGGTGCGTTTGTGTGTAATGTTAATTGCCTTCATGCGCGCGCAAGACAACTTGAGTCTCCTGTTCATGCCTCCTCATACCCTTTCATCCTCTTAAAGCCTCGTGCTGCCTGCTGCTGCCTGCGGGCACCACAGTTGACCCCAGACCCAACCCAATCCTGCTCCAAAGTGTGGGTCCTGGCCTGAGTCCTACCGTGTCTTGCCTTGCCTTGCCCCTGGTCTTTAATTACTTTCGTAGTTAATTCTGTTACAACAAAAAGCGGGGCATGCGGCAGTGGCAGCAACAGTAGCAACAGCAACAATGACAATGTCATTGCAAAAATTGAAATTTGCTTTTAATTTGCGCTTCTCGCTCTTGTCACTTGGCCCATCAGCTTTTCCAGTTTTCCCTGCTTGGCCCTCGCCCGCACCCTCCCCCTCTGTGTGTCTCTTGTTTCCGTTTCCTGTTCATTCCGTTTGACATTTTCTCTCTGTAGTGCTGCGGAATACGAGAGAAAATATGAAATGGAAAACGTATTTTATGCATATAAAATTTCTTTAATTGATTTGTCTTGAGGGCCTCTATTGATTTTCCCTTTTTCTTTTCGTTTTGTGTGGTGTCATCCCCCAGGACCGTGTCCCGTGTTCCGTGCCCCATGCCCCTCCATCGTGATGTCTGCGCTTTCATTTGGCAGGAAAATTGATTTGATTTCAAAGCAAAAAAGTTTATTGACATTAGATACGGCGTACCGCATTGCTTCTACTACGATTATTGGCCCCAAAAAGTTTTCCACACTTTGATTTACGAGCGAGAGCGCCATCGATGGATAATTGGCATGCCGATCCCCGATTTAATGTTAAACTCCATGGAGAGGGTATGCTAATTAATGATGGGTATTGCTATGGTCGCTACGAACGCATACGAATATGCTGATTTTTTATGGCATTTGTTTTCGTATTAAACAAAGTTGAAAGTTCAAAGCGAATGTCTTTCTGTCTCTCAGAGATGAATGTGAGAACAGAATATTGAGAAAAGAAGAAACGAGAACAACAAAGCACCGAAAGCCGAAAGTGAATTGCAAATTGCAGATCTCTTTTCTGTTTTTACGTTTATTGAACCCTCGAACCAGTGAGGGAGGGAAGAGTAGGAGCACTCGACTGATTGACCATCGGACAGAAGTCCGTAGAGGAAGCTGCTGCCAAAGTCAGTGAAGCGTAAGGGCAGATGGGTGACATGTGATGGGAGGGGGGGGAGGGTGCGTTCGTCAGCATTGAATGTTGTTCAGTTGAAAGAGTTTGAATGGAATTTTTATTGAAGATACTTTTTTTCTTGCAATTTCAAATCAATAAAAAATTTTGAATGACAACTTTTCTACTTTTTTATTCTATACCTATTATGCTCCCTGTCTATGAGAGCTTCTCTTGTGACAAGTGTTTCCTCATTCTTAGAAATCCCCTTGAATCCCCTTTCATTAGCTCTCTGTTTCACCTTGTTCTTATCTGTGTCTCTGGCAAGCCCAGAGATATGATACGTACATATATGATATGATATGAAATGCGTGGGCTTAGGACCCTGTCTCCGCTTTTGAAACTGAGTTAAGCAGCTGACGATGACGGTGGGTGGAAGGGAGGTTCTACCGACATTTGACATAGCTCTCTCTGTCTGTCTGTGGCACTTCTACTTCTCTTTATCTCTCGTGTGAATTTTATAAAAGGCCAAGCGACGGAAGAGAGAAGAGGGACTGGGCACAGCAGTTGCTCGTTCGCACAGGTTCTCCCTCTGTCCCTGTCCATCACTGGGCAATCTCTGGGGTTAGTCCTGGGCCTCCTGCTGAATATTTTATGGATATACGGCACAAACTGCATTTTAAAAAGTGTGTAATTACCGACCAGGGGAATTCACTCGACAGCCGACTGACTCCTTGACAAACTGACAAACAAACGGAGGGAATGAATGACTGGCGGACTAACTAGAGGGGCGAATAGATGTGGAATGTGTGAATTGTGTGTTTAAAGTCAATATAAAAGTATGGACTATAAATAAAATGAATAAAATCGTGTGTCGTTTGTCATTTGCATAAGTGAGTGGGTGGGTGGCTCCTCGTCTGCGGTTATCGATGTTTTCTGTAAAAATTATATAACATGAAGATGAATATATATTTTTTTTGGGGAAATCTCAGGCTAACCTGAAGGTTAGGGTGTGCACCACTGCATTCCAAGCTTTTATTGATGATTTATTTAATCAAAAAGTGCAATTTTGGAGGATAAGGAACATCTGTCTCAACAATCAACTCGTTTTCATAATATTTTACCGCCTCCGTATAAAAAATATTTTCGTTCGTGAAATATATGTTTCATTTATAGATCGTGCATGTATATCTAAAGATATTTTCGGTCTTGTCCACTCGCAGTGCCAGTGGCAGTGGTGCTCTTGCTTTTTTTTTGTTGATTTATTAAAATGTTTTTCGTCTTTAATTTTGGTTTTTTTGTGAGACCCCAAGACAGAAGATGAGGAGCTGATGGGGTTGCAGGGGTTGAAGGAAAGACTGAATATCTTTTTCTTATATAAATTAATTTATTTCATATGATTTAAGTATCCGTTGTTTTTTGTTAGAAATATCTTCCGAATATATTTTATATATTTTGATTGTTCTCTTTGTTGGCAACAATTTTGTCATTGCCTCTAGGTCAAATATGTTGCCAGACATGCCAGCTACTATTTCTCCTTCTGAAACCCCCCTTTTCGTTATACAACTTTTAATGTGAGAGAATGGGAGATTCCATGGATATTTGAGTTATCTTACGATAGCCAAAGACAGCGGGTGAAACCATTGCGAGGAGTACCTCCCACCTTTGTGCAGTCTTTTTGGTCTCTGAAAAACTCTTTTTGTCTTGATTTGTGGGAGGCTGAGAGGCCACTCACTTCAAGGCCACTCTCTGTTCGATCTCTGGACAAGAGAAAGTCTCTGTTTTTGGCCTCACTTAATGCGTACTCCCATTAGCCATTAGCCAGCAGTCCATTAGCCCTCCCTTAAGCCCATAATAACGGGTATTTGGCTTTATGTAATTCGAGACAAGAGCCAGAGACAAAGCCAGAGATCTCTTGTAATTTCAATGCCACAACTCCGGAGACAGAGGAGAGCAAAGTGGAGGTACACTCGAGAGTGACGACTGTGTAATGCTATATATCGCACTTCTCCAATTTCAGATATATGTTTGCAACTATTGTATACAAAATATATCTGTATCTTTATGGCTACACCTTTGCGTGGGTGCAGCGGTTGTGTCGGCGGCTGGGGAGCCAGTGACGCTTTTTGTTTAAGCGATAAAATGCCGCCTGAAAATACAACCAACTTTTTTATCTTGTTATTCTTTTTATTTTATACCTACATAACCGTGTGTGTGTGTATCTGTATCTGTGTTTTGTGCAAGAGATTTAATATAGCCCGCTGCTGTGGCTCGCTTACGTCATAAGCTGATGCCCCACTGCCACAGAAAGAGATGGAGAGACATGGTGGGCATGGGTGGAAGCATGTGCTGGAAAGGTCTGATAAGGCGAAAAATCTATAAACCTTTTTACATGCCAATATGCTTGCAGCAGCAAACATAGGGGGGGAATATTTTCACTACTTGTTTTATTCCCACCTGATGGATGCGGCAGGTGCTGCTCCTCCTGGAGATGGAGGGTCCTTCCACCTTCCTCAAATAGGATCTATGAAATTGAAAGCAGCTCCTGAAGTGCGGAGAGGGAACAATCACATAAAATTTATCCCATGAATAGCTTACAAGAAATGCCATTTATGGAATTTTTCTGGAAGAAAAGAAACCTCTCCCAAGTCTTACTCTGGGAAACCTGTAACCAAATGTAATCTCTGTATAATCCCGCTCATTCACCTACGCTTTTAGTTGCACGATTTTTCCGTTCTATTAACTTTTAAGACTCTAAAAGCCCCCGCCCGCCCCCAAAAAGTGACGACCTTGACCCAGCTCTTCACGTGTCCAAAAATATCAGAAATAACACAACTACCAAAATTAATAATAGACTTAAAAGTCGTGAACTTTGAGAGTCGGAGATTCGATGATTAGTTTTTGTGAGTGATTCGATTCGATGCGAGCTGTTAATTTGAATATGTGAATATTGAATATGATACGAGTATGCGGCTAGCGGAGGAGGTCAAGAAACCCGAGTAGGAAGTAGATATTCAAAACGAGACCTCAGTCAAGGCTGATCGGTGATCGGATCGGATCGGAAGAATTAGCAGCTGCAGAACGAGAGATGGCGAATTATGCAAATTAACCCCCTTTTTTTTAATACTAAATAATTGTATCTTTCAGCGTAAATCACAAAACTACAACAACTTCAAACTACAAGAACTACAATCTTCAGGTGGAACAGTGTAACAGTATCGCTGCTCCTCCTCCTCGAAGCCAAACCTCAGCCGAAGCAGCCTTTTTATCTAGAGACCAGCCAGAGAGGGCCAGAAGCGGTATGACAGGATGAACGGAAAGGAAAGAATGCCCAAATGGAATAGAAGCCCAAATAGAGATATAGAAATAGCAATGGAAACAATTACAAATGACTTACATATAGATATTCATTCATACATATAGCGTATATAACCACGAGACTACAGATATTTAGTTGTAACGTAGTTTAGTCTTATAACCGAAGAAGAATCGAGAAGAAAACGCAAAGAAAGCGGAAAACAAAAGAGAACAAACAAACATTGAGGAAATCCAGGAGAAAAATCATCATCCAAAAAAAATGGCTAAAGAATTTCATATTTCATTTCGATGAACCCCCGATCCACAAATCCATCCATCGATTAATCGTTCAATCAATTGATTTGTCGATCATTTGGTCAGTCAGTCAGTCAGCGGAAGCCACCACCACCACAACAACAACAACTTGAGAGTAAAAAAACGCTTTAATAATTTTTAAATTAAATACAAAAGGTTAAATTTAACACAAAAAAATTATGGCACACTCAGTGTGCTTGAAAAAAAAAACAACAAGAAGAAAGAATGAAAAAGAAGAAGAAGCAGCAGGCAAATCATATGATAAATAAAATGTGTAATATTTATATAAAGAAAATAATTACGAAGAATCAGCGATACGAGTCTCCCATAGAAAGCCTCACTTCACAGACATAATAGCGAACCAGAACGACAGGCATTTGGTCAACTGGTTAGTGAGTGAAATCGAGATTCAGTGTTGCGCAACGACAGTCAGTGTTCGTCAGCGCCTGAATATTCTTATACCCCCGCGCGCCCAGCTTGCGTTGATGTGTGGCTAGCTCTCGATATGTGTGTAGGCCTCGTGTAGACATGTCTCTAGATATTTATGTATAATACATGCATACACATACATACATATATAAATGTTGTACAATCAGCGACGACGTGCCACAATAAATCGTGCAACAAACCCCCTTTCCTACTCCCAGTAGAACCCACTAGGACAGTGGGACAGTGGCACCTAAAATCAAGCGTCACCCGTCAACCCATCATCGCAAACCCATGAATAGTTATCCATCCATCCAACATGCAACATCCTACATCCAAAACTCGCAAAAGGAACCACACCAACAACTACTCAGATTCTAAAATAATAAATATTAAAAAGAAGAAAAAAGGAAGTAACAAATAAAAAGCATTGAAAACGCAGCAAGAAATATATAAGAATATACGATTTAAAAAACAAAAATGAAATCTTAATGTTTAATATGTAAGCCACGTAAAACAAAACAAAAAAAACTGAAAACATTTGTGTGTAAAAAATCGTAAAAAACTTAGGATTACAAAAAAAATTGAAGAAGAAGTCTAAGGCGAATTCGGAGTCAAAGAATCAGGCAAAAATGTCGAAAGCATGTTTGAAGCAAAGGTAAAGGAGAAGCGAGTATCAAGCGCAAGAGATGGAAGGAGATGAAAGAGATAAAAGCCAACTAAATATAGAGGAGCAAAACGGAAGGAGCAGCAGGTATAGTAATGCCAAAGGGTTGCGGTTGATTGGATTATATTTATTATTGTTTTTTTTTTTTAATATGAAAAAGTGCAAAGAAGAAAGGAGAGATTTCTATTAGGTAAAAATATTTTTTATTAAAATTATCCCTCTGTTATTATTCATTTCATTAAAAGTGAAGACTTTTTTCCATTACGTTTTGGATGTTGTTGTTGTTGTGAGAGATATGTGAGATATGAGTATTGTAGCGCAAGTGAGAGACAGAGAGAGAGTCGTAAAATGAAAAAGAATACAAATTAATTTATTACGCGTATATTTTATGTTTTCTATGATGATTATATACAAGTATATTTGTTCAACTATAGTTGCGAGACAAAAGTCATAAATAGGCATACAAATTAAGCAGCTAAATTTAATGGTAACTACGAGTAAATACGAGTAAAAATAAAACTAAAAACTAAATAGACACCGAAATCAATTGAGCAACCAGAAGCAGGAGTTTCTAGCAGCCACGATATGTTCACACATCACAATCAACATTTGATCATACATAGAGATACAGATATAAAATATATGATTGATGATTTGAGTTGGAGTCCTTTTCTTCACTCATACACACTGACACTGACACTGACACACACATGTCCCGTACACACAAGCATACATATATGGAAAATAGTCGTACGAGTATGATAGTAGTCTGAGAAAAACAATTTAATATTGAGAATATATAACTAAATATATATATATACAATAAACATATGTGCAGTAAGAAGAGGAAGTTGTGCAATTTTAATTGTTTTCTCGTGCGTTTTAGTCTTTTGTGTTGGTTAACTTTTTACGGTAACTGTCGCAGAAGATCTATCTGAAAGTATCTGAAAGAGCTTTACTATCTGACTAATGATTTGATCTTTATGAATAACTTTAATATGTATTAAACGGAAAATTTTGCACTAATTTGTAATTGTATTTAATGATTAATATAATGTATCTATCTACCTATCGTTTTTTTGGTTGCTGGAACTTATCCTTCCTCAGTCCAACAGTTTGTTCGATTAGTTGATTAACAAAACAAAAGAAGAGTGAAATTTCTTTTCCTTTTTCGTTGTTTCACATGTGTGTGCGTTCAGAATATTGATAAATATATACATACATAATGATATATATATATCCATAAGAAGAGGAGCAGACGAGGGGGAGCAGAAACGCAAACAAAATTCAAACAAATTATTTAATTTAGTTTATAAATTTAAGTTTATATAGCAAGTGCATATATAATATATATATATTTAAAAACCAAACAAAAAAGATCTGCAAAATCTTAAAAAAAAAAACAACATCAACCAAACAAAAACACATACAAGCATACAATAAAAACAAAAAATTATATCTAAAAAAAAAACCAACAAATTTGCGAAAAAGTAAAACAATTATAAGTAACAAATATAAAAAAACGATGGAGAGAGACAACAACAATCCACACAAGGAAAAGAAAGGAAACAAAACAAACAAACAAAAAAAAACCAATAAAATGAATTTGAAATCCTTAAAAAATATATACACAAAATGTGGGCGTTCTCATTGATGTCTGATGGGGTGGGGGCGGAGAGGTTTGCTCTAAGATTTTCTCTGGAGGGGATGGGCCGGAAACGAATATGGAATGGAGAAGGAATGGAGCTCCTGCTGTCACGACAGACACACGGCTCCTACGAAATGTGTGAACGGAATTTCATGGATGAAATTCTCAAGTAAAAACATCTGCACTGGAAATTCCTTTCAGCCGAAGGAGACCTGTCATTGCTACTGCCGCACACCAGATGTCGGGATGTTACACATGAGTGTGTATATATGTATTTAGTAATCCCATCTTACGAATAAGTAAGTATATTAGAGCGTGTAATACATGTGCAAGTCTCGGAGTTTATATTTATGTTTTGGCAATAGCTTTACCAAAGGATATTCCATGTAAATTATTACCTTATGTCATTGCAATATCCTTATATAATATTCTTTTTCCCAGGCAGATACTTATTTAATGCGTTTCCTTGCAGCAAATTCCCACATAATTTAACCGTAATTATCTTTGAATATAATATTCCAAAGGAACCCCCATTCGATTGTAATCCATTAACAATCACAAAGCAATCATTTGTCTATTTTCTTTAGACCACTTTTCCATGCAGAACATGCCCCAAACACACATGCCACATGGTATCCGTATCATTTGAAGTTCGTATTCCTAAACTTTTGGTCGCATGCCCCAAAACACTAGAGAACAAAAAAAAACTAAACAACTTTCCACAAAAAAAAAAAAAAAGAGCAGAAACAAAAACAAAGTGCAGAGAGAAAAATCGTAGGAAAAACAAAAAAGGACTGCGGGACTGTCAAAAAGTTGTGCATAATTTTTTGGTTTGTTTCGTTTTTCTTTCGCCTTCCGCTTTTTCATACCATACATTCATATCGTACGATACGAAACGATAGGTACACCTTTTGACACACTTGCCGTTGGCTTTTCCTTTATACATTTCCACATGCCACAGAGTGAGAGTGAAAGAGAGATAGCAAGAGAGAAAAGCAGTTTTTATTTTGTGTTTCCTTGATTTTTCGGGGGGTCTCTGCAGACAAAAGTTGGCGTGTGTACATGCCATATAACACAGACACACACTCAAAGTACGATACATACACACACACGAGAGAGAAAAACACCCGCTTTATATGCATATTTATATATATACATATAGTGTACATATAAATATATATGGAATGTGAGGTTAGGGCATGGCAAGCCATTGGAAGGAACAACAGGAGACCTAGTCGTCGTCCCGCATGTCTGAGGTTATTTATAGCAACACTTTTTCGGCCAACATTCACATTAGCTCCACACTTGCGTTGGCTTTTCCATCCATGCTATGCTGCTGCTCCTTTCGCCAAGTTTGTCCTTAAGTTTAGGTCAGGATACGTACGGAACGGAACGGACAGGAAAGGACATTGGGGAGACGGTAGGTGGTAGGAACAAACGCTAAGCAGCTTTATGATTTGTGTGTGTGGCGCTTCTGTGAGCTGTGTGTTTGTGGGGCCTGGGGCAAGGGAATTTTCCTTTATGCAGTCAGAGAAACAGAGAGAGCGACAGAGAGACGGAAAATAATAATTCCAGCCATGGCCAAGTGAACAGTGAAGCCGGGCCTTTGTGTGCGAGACATCAAAGAGGAGTTTTCTCCATAAATAGATTAACCCCAAAGGGGATGGTAGGAGACTTTGGGAAATCCGATGAATAGTTGGCGGAAATTTACCATTAATTGTGTCGAATATTCAAAGAAAAGAAAACCTTAATAAGTTTTCCATTTCTAACGTTTAAGAATGAATAGTTTTGGAAACAATCGAAGGAATACTAACAAGTAGAATGCCGCTGTCCCCTCTGTCTGTATGCATGGTACACGTGTCTTTTGTGGTTTGGTTGTTCCACTGTACACTCGTATGAGTGCTTTTTTCCTTTGACCTCCTCTTTCTCCTCGTGCGGGTGGATGATTGTTTTTCTGGCTTGGCTTGCAAAAACCAGAGAAAGAGAACGAACGACAAAACAGAGAAGGCAATGGCCACTTTTCAATGTGTCGCCGTCCTACCAATTAGATTCCCTCCCTCCTAAGCCTCATACTCCCCCCCTACGCTATTATAGCCAACCAATTTGTGGTGGTTGAGGAAATCTATACGAGTA